ATGCTACCATTAGTAGCACTATGCTACTACAATAGATAATGTAGGTCAGTTTAAGACAATGGATTTGCTTTATATGATCATTTAATCAGTGAATATCATTATATATTAATATATAACATAATGAAATCAGCTTTCCCCCCTACGTTTTCAATTTTTGAGGAGCAAAACTCACTGATGTTACATGTAGTAGCTCAATGCTTATTAAATAGGTCAATGCTAGTTTTGTATGATCTATCCCTTGCTTGCCGGTCCTGATGCTAGTTTGATGCTGATGCTTATTTTGCTTATGCTGATTTTTGTAACAAAAGTAGCCTCCTGCACTGTCTTAATATAAATTGGTTACATAAAAAAATTAAATCTTCAGATTTTAAACGTAATCAATTCAAAACAATCACTCGGGATGGATAAAGTAAATCGCTTAAAGTTACCCAAAGCAGCGTATGCTGTCGATACATATTGAACTAACGCTATATCAAAATTTACAATATTTTACATGTAAAATGTTATCGTCCAATAAATTTCTGCATACACTTTACCATCACATTTCGGACTAGTCCAATTTTCTTTGCATCCAATAGGACAGACTCCATTACAGAGTGTCCCTGTCAGACATTCTTTACATTTATTATTTCAGTGATCTCCATAGTACCCATCCGAGAAAACTGTCAAAAAAGAAATATTTTTGTGACATGAAATCCGTTACAGACATAATCAAACACTAACCATTACAAACGGTATACAAGTATCTTGACTTGAAATTGATTTCACACATAATCAAACACATGTCCAACGGATAAAGTGTACATTAGCTTGTGTCTAACATTGATAACTATTGATTACTAGATGATACCTATTGTTAACTTCATGTTCAAAGATATGCTTTTTTTTCTTAATTATTAGATATTTTAAACTAGTACCGTTATTTTTCATTTTCTTAGACATTATATAGTCTCAAACTTTCTTAATAAAGAGCTATCAGCGCTGACGTTGACGTCACCGATTGTTGTGTTATCTAACATCATCTAACACAAAATACGTTGTCTACAAGTTAAGCATAAACGGGTAAATTAAATAATAAAAATTTTTATATCTTGTTTCAAGTAATCGATTTTTTAAGTGGTAAAACAAGAAAACCATCTCAACCTTTTTATGAATAATGATTCAAACAAAGTCAACAGTTAAGGAAACAAAATTGTAAATACAATTGCCTTATATACCATGATTTCATTGTAAATGTTTATTAAAAGTTACATTTTTTTCGAAATACATTGTATATTTTAAGTTGCATATCTTTCTGTAAGTACAGATGTTAGAAACAGTAAGATGATAACCACCCATATCTTATCTTGTAAGAAGAAAATTATTCCAGGTTTATATCCTGTCATATTAGAATTTGTTAAAAGCAGGAACATAAATGATTTTAGGTGGAGGGAATATTCCCCTGTTAGCTGTATGGGTTTTTGGTATTCTTAACCACCTTTTGCAATATGAATAAGCCGTTACATATTATCGTACTGGATACGTATTATCTTGGGAATACCCCTACCGATTGGATGAATTTGAGTTCTGTGAAACGATTTATTATTATTTTTTAACAGGGGTGTGATTGTTTACTTTTGATTTAATTTTTGTTAATCATTAACGTTCTATTGCGTTCTATTTTAAATTTTCCCTCTGTCACAAATAAACTATAACCACTTCTACTACAATAATTTCTAGCGTTAATATGCATTATTATGTGGCACGTCTAGCTAAAATATTATACAAATATTGACTATATATTTATGATTACGTTAGCCTCAAAGGGATAAAATATTGACCGACGCGGAGGGGAGGGCAATATTTTCATCCGGAAGAGGCTAACATAGTCAATGTTGCCCGAAAACACAGTAAATAATTGTTTTGTTATATGAAAAACAAATCATTCAAATAGTATTTTGTTTGAAATAAATTATCTGCATCATGAGTGTGTATCTAGTGCAAGTGACTCTTGCCTTGATTGTTACTTGTTATTTTTTTTTTAATTGTGACGTTATGTTTTTGGAAGTCGTCACAATCAATCTATCTTCTAATTAATATCCAAATCAATAAAAATGTGGGAAAACTCTCTTTGCCGGTCAATAGTGAAAATTAAATGACCGTCAATATTTTTCGGAGGATCTTATCTCAATTATGTTGACTGTTTCTTTATGTAAAATATTTTACGTCTATTCTTTACTGAATATAACAAACTACTTTCATGTATGTCAAATATTACGTGTGCTTAAAATGACGTCATCTGTAACAATACCTCTTTTATGTGATGCTTCCAATGTAAATTCTATTTTATAGTGTATACAGTTCGTTGTTTGCATCAGCTATTTTAACAAAGAACTATCCAGATATATTGCAATTGTCTATTGTTATTTTCCGTTAGCTGTATTTCTCGATTTCACATTGTTGCATGGCTCTCTAAATTCAACCCAATTTGTAAGTAATAGTTGGGTATTCTCATCGTTTTATATACTACTGGTGTAGCGTATTTTAATTCAAATATATCTTAACTCATCAAATATCAATTATTCAATCACTATATCTTGATATTCTGAACTTTTTCCCGGGATAATCTGAATAAAAAATGCTGATAAAGGCTAGTGCATATGAGGATCTTTCACGAAGCACGTAATAAGAAATATGTGCAAAGCATTAGGGACGGCTTTTTCTGTAAGCCTTGCATCCATTCGTCTGAACCGTGCAGCCAAGTGTTGAGTGTAATTCATGTAGCGTCTCCAAGTCGTGTAATGGTTTGCTCACATCCTGCAGAGATAGTGTATCATTCGTACTGATCTAGAGTGTGATTTGGTAAGTAGATCATTTTGGGTCTGTGATTTTTCTTTATTAATGAGTCCATTCAGTATATATTCAAACTCCTAAGAAGTGCTTCGTTATATTAATACGAAAGACATTGAGACCGTAAGAAACTGCTTAAAGATACAAAAAAATCATTGTTTAAAGTAAATAAGAATAAATGTATGAGAATAAATTTTATCACTTATAATCAGAGCAAATTAAACATTTTATGGTGCTTAGCAAAGATTCACTGTAAAGTTATTCAGATCAGATATACCAAATGCAGACGTAACATATGTCCATATTTCTCACAAAGTTACCGACTGATAGTATTTTGAAAGCTTCCAGAGAATAAAATTAAAAAAAATATATATATGAATAGCCCCAGTCATTCTTTTAATATATAGAAGCGCATCTATACAAAATAAAATTATTGCCGTTATATACTAATTCATTTTAAAGACAGATCTACAAATAATGTCTAGACAAGAATAATCAGCTATTTGTTTTGAACATATTCATCATTTTTGTAGATGTGCATTTCCTGGTAATGTAAACTTTCCGATCTGGAAGTTATCTTTTGATAGGTAGGATCGAGGTTCGTGTCAGCTAGTTGATCGTAAAGTTTTACAGCCATGCTGTCTGTTATGTTCTTTCCTGTGTGTGGGTTACTCTGTTTCATTTTCTTGTAGACGATTCTAGCAACCACTGCGTATATACTGGTTACAACAACAAGGGTTGAAACAATGGATAAAATTGCAGTTGAAGCCTTAGAAACTCCATCATCTGTATGGAAAACAATGCATGTCTGATAAGAATCAGACAAGCTGAATTCATCCTGTTTGCATATGAACCTTATAAACATTGATTATCTGTGTAAACTACAGATATATTACCGTCACATTTGGTTCCACTCCAGTGATCCTGGCATCCATCTGGACATATCCCTGTTTGGTTATCACAAAAGGTCCCTACTCTACACTTACTACAACTAAATTCACAGTTTGCTCCATAAAATCCATTTTTGCACGCTGAAATTAACAGCCGTGAGAAAGATTAATATGCATTATGATATAAGTGAAAACCACTTGGCGGGATCCCCCATTGTTAGAATAAGTGTGGTTTTCCTTAAATGCTCAACAAAATTAAAGCGATGATATGTTAACTTTCTCAGATATTTTCTTAATTTAACTACAAAATCTATCTTAGTTTGCTATTTCTTCATATATTGGTTACCTGACATGAATATTTTCAAGTCAAAGCCTTCAAAAATCAAATGTACATTTATTATTACATCATACTTAACGTTACAGTTCGTTTTATTCTAATTACCCTGACATCCCTCCGGAGAGATTCCACTTGTATTGTTACAGAATGTACCACTTTTACAAAATCCACAACTCTGTGTACAGTCTGATCCATAATAGCCGTCTTTGCATTCTAATATCTTTGAGATGTGATTAGACAGTACGTTTATGAATGAAACATTAATGATATAAATACGGAAGATCAGAAGCAAATGGAGGATCAGATGTTTAAATCATTAATGAAAGTACCACATGTCGTCTCTGACTCTGATGTACATCTTCAATTCAGTGAGCAGATTTATTATAGATGCGTGAAGGACAAATATCTAATAATTTCTGCATATGTATAATTCATTTAATTTGATAAGTCTATGACTTGTACTAAGCGGGGGAAGTAAAGATAGAAACTGATAACAATTACACTATGTTTAAATGGGGGGTTATCTGAATATTGTGGTGACATTCTCTGCTACATATAAAGTATGAGTAAAACTCATCCCAAAATATTGTTTCTTTGCGTTTCTCTATATTCTTTCTTGGATGGCTAAAATAGAGATATTGAGATAAGTTTCTTTTACCTGAACAATAAGGTGATTCAACGACATTGTCAATGCATCCATATATACAGGAACCATTAAACGCATCACATACTGTATTACGACATTTTAACGTTACAAAGATTGCAGTGTTCTCCATAATGTTGAGATGGACAACCTAAAACGAATAATAAACAATTACAAGGCTGGTATTGATTTTAAGCAATGTCTTTTTACATTTAGTTTATTCCCATAGATAAGTATTCTTTCATAAAATTTAAGATTTTCTTTATCTCTTAGTCTTTCAGATGTATTTGAATAATTAGCATCACATACCCATCAACTTTATTTCACATAATTCAATGGTTGCAAATGTAGATTCATAACCCGAACATGCTGTACTGACGGGAGGATCCTTTGAGTTGTAAATAGCTATCCCCTGAATCTCTTCATTGATAGTTACATTTGTAACACGTTCAGGACAGGTAGAGATATTGTGAGCGAACACTTTATGTTGAGATGCATTTGAAGGAGGAATGTACGAGGAATCGTTAAACACAAAAACGGAAAATCCCACGTGTCGATTTAAAGCTTCAATAAATAAAGTAATCAAATGATAAAATATATTCATTTGTGGAAGGTTAATTCATGTGTCATATAGAAATTATATGCTTGATTAAAGGAATTAAAGATCATCCTTCATTATAAAATGGTTTGTTCTTTTGAAAGCTATAAAAAGATTAAATTTCAGTAAAAGGGAAAGAAACAGGAGACATTGACATTTTTTTTATCAAAGTTTATATGTTTAGGAAAAAAGTGGCTGGCCCCTAAATAACTCTTTGAACACTTCTTGATAAGGAAAAAACTTCATAAAAATATCTAATAGAAAAGGTTTAAAATCATTAGTCCTATCATTTAGAAACAAGAGAAGGCTGATACATTAATTTGAGTTGATTTTTTTCCTTCATAAACAATCAATTTTTGTTATACTCCTATAGCAAAAATATTCCAAAAATTATTGCAATTTATACCATACTCTCCGTAAAAAGCGGTCATAAGAGGCCAAATTGATCAGTTTTTTTTTTTTTTTTTTTTTTGTTTTTTTTTTTTTGTTTGTTTGTTTTTTTTTTTTTTTTTGTTTTACTTCTCCATTAATTTTTCTTCTCCCGAAAAAAAAAAATGAAAAGATGAGAAAGGGAATGGATTTCAAGCCATTGAAACTTTAATTTCAGTATTTCAGTGCAATCGCGCTGAGTCCCTCAAATAAGGCGCCCAGAGGGTCAAAATGTCTTTATTCGCTGTCTCTTTATCGAGCAATATTTTGTCACACATTACAAAAGTAAAACTCCTAATCTTAATGATCTGCAGATCTGAAACTCTGATTTTTATGGCAAGTCAAGTAATCATGGGTCTTAAGGAGTCAGTCTTTTTTTTTTTAATTTTATTATTATTATTTTTTTTTTTTTTTAGATATTTCATTTGGTGCAATGTATGAAAAAATAGAATCTCTTACATTAGGGACCAAGAGGTTATTTTCTGTCATCTATATCTCTTTGAACAATACTTGAATATACGTTACTTAAGGGTTAGAGCTAACCCTTCATCTAAGTCTCTTTAACGAACAATATTTTGATCATATACACCATAAAAAAACTATTTATGGGCAATTATGCTTACACCGGTTTTTTTTAATCTCAAGAAATAAATATTTTTAAAGGCAATATTGAAATGATATTCTTTCATCAAATACAGTGATATATCTATAAGTATCCGCCAATGTCCTTCTTTTTTTTTCTTTTTCCCCTTTCCAATAAATAAATATTGATATTTTCCTACATTTATTCGGATTTATGAATAATAGTACATTTGCCCAGCATCTCTCTCACTCTCTCTCCCCATCTCTATCTCTTTCTCTCTTTTTCTTTCTCTTTCCTCTCTTTCTCCCCTGTCTCCCTCTCTCTTTCTTTCCCTCTCTCCCTCTCTTTCTCTCTCTTCTCTCAAGTCTCTTTGAGGTGTCTTTTATGCATTTCAAAAGAAAACTATTTAAGGATTTTTTTAGAAGACTTACTTGAATATCGAAAATAAACTTCTAGATATGCTACATTAGCCATGGTTTTCAACGGAAATTTCCACCAAGCCTTCTTTACAGAAGGATTAGCCCACGTTATACTGCATGTGCTTAGACCATGGTCCTTTTCGAGGTAACCATCTACAGCATTTCCTGCTGGTGCGTTATAACCACTGTATTCTGGATACATAGACGCTTGTCCTTTATACTCTGGTAGTAAGCTAAGATTATCTACAAACGAAGAAAAATTAATATATAAAAAGATGAAAAATGAGAAAACAGATTAAACCTTATTAGAAACTATTTCATCCTGAAAACTGGCGTCTGTTGAAATGAAAAATCAAAATATTACCCCAGCCTTTAGATACATTTACAATATTCCCACAAAAGAATAGGTACGTCAACTCCATGCATCCCATCTTCATGTCAAGGATTTTATTTAACTTGTCTAATATATTATGTAAAAAATTTTGATAAAAGAAACAGAACAAGGAAACAGAATTATGAATACATATACATTACGTGACGGTGAATATTAATGATGTTCAGTTTGCTATGATTATAATTGTAAATAAATGTCTTCAGCTGAAATAAATAATGTATTTTTTAAACAACAATAACAAATACTTCCGGAGTGATCAATTACACTATACCCTGTATTGTGCAAGACTGATGCTTCACTGCATATAGTAAGTAAGTAGCTTTTAATAAAGTCGTTTGATACGCGTCATATAAAGACGTTTCCTTATTTTTGAAATCGTTTTCTTTTCACACAGTGTATAATATGTATATAAATTCAACAGTTTAATTTACAAGTCGAATTCTTATTCAGAACGAAAAACTTTATTTATTTTCTCTACGAACCACAGTACTACAGATACAATGCGTTCCGGAAAAAAAAAATTAATGTATCAATTAATCTCCAATATTATATTTTTATCTAAAAAAAAAAAAAAACAAAAAACATTTGATTTGAGGAGTAAACATTGGTAATACCCACACTTTATGAAAAATTGTAAGGTCTTTTGTTGTTATCCTGTTCCATCCATTTAGTCCTTCCTTTACCTGTAATTCCTCTTCTAACAAAAAAGTAATCAATTAATCTCTTGGAATATGAATATTGGTGTCATAAAAATGTGTGTTTAGGTTTGAGGGTTGTTTTCATCATGGATGGCTTAATTAGGGTTAAAAAAGTTATTTTTCTGCATACACCAAGTTTCCATTTACATTTAATGAAGCAGCCAAATCATTTTTCGAGACGATTTGTGGTGTTCTGTTGATGTGCAGTGATGTTTTAGAAATTTCATTTTTTACTTGTGGCCAATTTGGGTGAGGGGGTATAAAAAAGACGTTTGACAGTTAGGAAAAAAATGTTTCCCTAAAGTCATTAACACAGAACACAGATACCATCACTTACAAGATGATTTGGGGCAGAGGGTCCTGCAGAAGTGCACTGAGGCTTTCATTTTGACCTAAGGGTTAATTGGGGGAAGGTCGTAAAACGACGTCTTTCATTTTAAAAATTATGATTCCCTGAACTCCATATAATTTTAATAGTAGCCACCTCATCTTTCGTTTGAAAATAGTCGAGGATGTAATGTTAATACGCAGTAAGGATTTGGAAATGTTAATTTAACCCGTGAGTGCGAAGTTGGAGTCAAAAAAGGACGTTTTTCATTTTACAATAAACTGGTTCCCAAAACTCCTCGCACATTTTATGCAGTAGCCAAATCATCTTTTGCAAGATAATTGGAAGTGTTTTGCAGATGTGCAATGAAGTCCCCATATTCTCATCTTTATCATAGATTGCAAAAAGGGGTCAAAAATTGTGTTTCACATTACAATTTGCATATATTTTTTCTCCTTTTATGGCAGATGTCTTTGTATTAAAATCAAACTATACCTTATTTCTACTTTAATTAAAGACATGCTGTATTTTTCTTTTGTTGTTGATTTTATAAAAACTGAAGAATAACGTCTGTGGCTATCCAAGTACAGACAAGCGTTCTTTTACAGGGAAACACTTTAGTGCGAGTTCATCTGACGGGATAAAACATACTACATTCAACATTGCTTGATGACGGGTGCTTTTCCCATAAAATGTTGACAGCGCAGAGTGTATCGTAATTTATATTTGTATAAAATTCAGTATAATAAATACTAAATGTAGTTGAGAGTAACATTGAAAATTTTGCCCCCCACCCCCCACCCCCACCCCTAAAAAAAAAAAAAAAAAAAAAAAAAACTGTTAACCGATGTCATATCATCTTTTAAGTGTCATATATCCGTTCAATTAAAAAGAAAATGTTCTCTATGTATGACAGAAATGGCCCACATTCTCTCACATGGTGCCAACGTCCCATATTTTTGCATCACATCTCAAAATCTATAAATAATTTGGCATTCAAGCTAAATTACAGCAAAAAAGAGTTTTCATTATTATAAGATCTTTACATTCATTTTCCCAAACGTTGTCCTTTTAACGAGTCCTCGAATTCAACCAGTGTACTTACATACCTGTGCATTTAAAGTCTAAGAGGATTAATTGAAATATATATGAAGATAAAGAATAGTATTAAGCTCAGATGTCAAGTGGGGCAAAGCCAAAATGGCCATCACATTAGAAGGGTAATTTATCTATAATCGTGATTTTCAGTACATTACCGTCTGTGAGGGCGGGAATCTTCTGTCCTTATCGACGTCTAGATAGCAAAACCGATTAATATTTGCCAAGCACCGGATGCAAAAGGATAACGACCTATTAGCACAGACATTTTTTTTTTCTTACAGACAAAGACGTAATAAAAGAATTTATAAAGAGGTCAGCATAGTTAAGGTGAAGGATTCAATCCATACGTATGAAAAGTCATGTGTAATTTGCCATCATAATTGTAAAAGCAATCGAGGTTTCTGCAAGCGAGTGCGTTCTAAAAAAAGGTTATTAAGATTTGATTGTTGTATGTAGTTTTGACTGTGTTTGCTTGTAGTGAGGGGAATGCTTATGGTATGAGCTAAATTCTCGTTCAGCTAGTGGAGGGTATGAACTTATTTTCAGCCTCTGAGTCTGGCCTTAAAAGAAAACAAGTTGTTATGTTATAGTATTTTATTTACGAAGAAACCGCAACTGAGGTTGTCAGGGCCCGCACGGCCACTATATACCCCAGAACCGGTTTCCATGACAATTCCACAACTTGTTGACTTTTGCAGTACCCATGTGACATGACCGCATGTGGTCAGCATGTGATCAGTGTACTTTAACATGCATTCTCTGTAAGCACCAAAAAATTTACTATAGGGCTTGGAAACGACATCTCTCCGATTTTGATGAAATTTGCACCATAGGTGCATCTTGGCACAAAACTAGGAAATATGGTGTTAGAAGTTTCACACGTGCACCCGGTTGCCATGGAGACGGGTCAATTGAATTTGGCCATTTTTGGCCCTTTTTGACCAAATAAAAACATGAAAATTGAGGAAATGTAAATGCATTTTTGTCTTTATGTAGTAAACTCAAACACAAATCATTGTATCATAAGAAAACATCAACTTTTAAGGTATACAGGGCATATAATCGGTTATTCCAGAATTATTCCCACTCTAAGAAAAAGGTCCTGTAAAATGACATTGTTTCTGAAAATGTGAAAAATGGGAAATTTGGTATTTTTTGAGAACTTTAAAGTTAAATAAAAAAAATTGTCTACGGAAATTTTTCAAATCTTATGTGTGTTTTATACTTCAGAATTAGGAGTGTCACCTCATGAAAAAATTGGAGTGGGATCTCAATTCTATTTTTAGTAACATGTATCTATAAATAGACATATTTCAGAAAAATCTAAAAAATCAAATTTGGGCAGAGTTTAAGATGCCATTGGTAGGTATTTAAGAAATATACTGTAAAAGTCAATATGTTAATGACAGAAACTGGACACCAATAACTACTATGCATATTATTTGAAGGGAGTTCCGTTTTCTATTTATAGCTTCAAATGCCTTAAAATAGACTTGTCTCATAATATGTGTAAAAATGACTATTTTCTATCATTTAGAAGCTCCACTAAAACATAAGTGATAAACATACTGCTATCACCAATATTTCATCAATTAGAACATGGGATAATACAATAACTCACACATTATTGAGGATAGGCTCTCATTTCTATAAATAGTACAAATGTCTAAAATTAGACACATGGGAAATTAACGACGAAATGTAGATTTTTGCACTAGTTCTCACATTAGAGATGAACAATTTGCATACTAACTGTCATTAACTGTAACTGACATAATGTGACTGACAAGTACAGGAAAGCATTAACTGAAATGCAGAATAATAAGCGGAGGTTTCCATTTCTATTTATAGTAACAATTGTTTAAAAATAGACATTCTGCAAATTATCAAGAAAATGTAGAATTTTGCACTATTTTCTCACATTAGGGATGGACAATTTGCAGACAAACTGCTATTAATTGTTAATAACATAAGGGGAACAACAAGTACAAGAAAGCATTAACTGAAATGCAGAATAATAAGCGGAGGTTTCCATTTCTATTTATAGTAACAAACGTTTTATAATTATGGAAGAAATGTAGAATTTTGCACTGTTTCTTACATTAGGGATGGACAATTTGCAGACTAACTGCTATTTACTGTTATTGACATCAGGTGACCGACAAGTACAAGAGAGCATTAACTGAAATGCAGAATAATCAATGGAGGTTTCAATTTCTATTTATAGCAACACATGTCTAAAAATAGACATATTGCAAAAAATCAAGAGAATATAGATTTTCGTACACTAGGAATGGAAATTTTGCCGATTAACTATTATTAACTGTTATTGACAAAAGGTGAATGACAAGAACAGGAAAGCATTTACTGAAATGCAGAATAATCAGCGGAGGTTTCGATTTCTATTTATAGCAACATACGTGTATGTCTAAAAATAGACATAGTGCAAATAATCAAGGAAATATATATAGATTTTTGCCCTATTTCTAACATAAGGGATGCTCAATTTGCAGACTAACTATTATTAATTTAATGTGACTGACAAGAACAAGAGAGCATTAGCTAAAATGCAAAATAATCTGCGGAGATTATTTCCATTTCTATTTATAACACCAAATACTTAAAAATACATATGTCTCAGCATATGAGAAAAAATGAAAATTTCCCCCAATTACAACCTTCACAAAAATATTTAAAATAACATTGCTCTCCAAAATATGCCATCTTCAAGTGCATGTGGTCATACAACACTTCACACATTAATGAGCATGGGCTCACCATTTTTTACTACAGTAACAATAAACTAAAAATATATGTAATGTATATATAGGAACTCCCATGGTTTGTGCTTGAATATGATTTTTATCCAACCAGTTGTGTGGTTTTTTTACTCCCGAGCCTTAGCGAGGG